CAATTAATTTCTTTCTATTTTTGGTAGAGACGGGGTCTCGCTCTTGCTCAGGCTGGTCTCGAACTCCTGAGCTCAAACAATCCGCCTGCCTCGACCTCCCAGAGTGCTAGGATTACAGGCGTGAACCACCGCGCCGGGCCCAGACATCTGCTTTTGATAGACTGATATTGAAATGATCAGCACGACTAACCCACCATACCGGTTTATGCTAAAACTTTCCTCCAGTATACCACAGTTTAAAAAAATTTTAAATATCTTTTTATCATATGGCTTGCTTACCCCTTTCTTTTTTCTAGGAGTTACTTAATAAACTTTTATGAAGTTAATTTATGGGATTGAATCTGACTTGATGAAATGATTTCTTTTTGTTGTTGTTATCAGATAGCTTTTGGATCCTAAAAGGTCAACTTTTTTTAGTACAGTTCTCCTATGAATTTACTTTATAAGTCAAAGGAAAAAAAGAATAATTTTCAATTAGTCCATTTTGGGTTTATTGATGAAACATAATTTGTCTTAACCAGGTTAACTCATGGGGTTACTCCTAACACTTGTTGAACTAAGTAATTTGTAAAATTATTTTCAACTTGATATAATTGTTTTCTTTTGCAGCTTGTGAAGCTTTGTATTGCTATGATTGATACTGGAAAAGCCTTTTGTGTTGCAAATAAACAGTTCATGAATGGGATTCGAGACCTGGCTCAGTATTCTAGTAAGGATGCTGTAGTTGAGGTTAGTATTATTAAAATTGCAGTGAAAATAAAAAAAATGCAACAAGACATTAGAGAAATGTGTATTCATTTACCTACCTGATATTACTAGTTATGGTGATCCTTAAAATTAGAAATATAAAAGCTATCATGCCTTGGTGCTATCTTGTATAATTCTCTTTTCTAAGGTAATTAGAAATTATTCAATTTGTATTGTGCATATCTAGCATCCCTCTTCTAACCCAGCATCTCGTTGTTTTGCCCAGTTTACTAAGTTTACTTGCTGCTAGGTGAGCTGAAACATTTGCCAGAGGTCCTGAGCAAGAAGTGCAGGATCATACCTACTAATAGCTGCTTACAGAGGCAAGCAGTGAGCATTAACCTGAAAATAATATTAATATGTAATTGTATGAATGGGGGCTATCTAGGTTCTGATCAGACAGCTATGTTAGATTAACTTAGATCCCTTGCTATACTGTGTGGTGTTAGGATATTTCTTCCCTAAGAAATAATAATCTCTTTCCTGGAGAAGAAATGGGTGTGGTCTGATGATTATTTGGTCCATAGACGCCTAAATGATCACACGATCTTGATAATACTCAAATAATTTTACCTTTAGGTTTATATATGCCATTCCTATTTGTTAGCGTGATATTATTGATGGGGCAGTACTAATTCTTTGACTTTTCTAGAGTTTTATATGTTTCCACTTGTAGACTTACCTCTCTGCAGAGCATCCTCAGGAAGTAGTGAGAGTGTCCTTGGAAATAAATGTTACTGTTTACAATGTAACTTGATCTTTCTGTCAGAAATGCTGAAGTAACATTTTTGTGGCCTATTTTACCAGCTCATAAATGACTTGGTTTCTTTTTATTTCTTTCTCATAGACAAGTTTGACCAAGTTTTCTGACAGTCTTCAAGAAATGATAAATTTTCACACAGTAAGTGTCAGTAAGTAGGTGTTACTATGACCATGTTAATATTTTAGTACTTTCCTCAGGTGGCAGTAATTTTATGCAATGATTAAAGTTGAATTCAATGACTTTGGTCAACAACTTTTTCGTTTGGTGGATCTAAAATGTACACTGAATGTGTGACTGTGTGTGTGTGTGTGTGTGTGTGTGTGTGTGTGTGT